CAACGGCCCCCTGCCCACAAACCCTGAGACTGACATTCACCCTGACCCACGCCCCCCACTCAGATGCCCCGCCCCCCAAGCTTGCCCCAGCGTGGCCAGATGAAGGCTGAAATGACCCTGGGCCGTAAGCCTATCACTAGGTTGGCTTCGTAGCTTCTGTCCCCAGAAGCGTGGCTTCAAAGCCCCAGGGATGGCAATAACTGAGCAACACCAGAGGACTCAGCTTCCCAAAAAGAATTCAAAAACACTACTTGCAACTCCGGAGAGCAACTCTGAATGCCCATCCCAGCCAATTCACAAATTTGGTGCCCTGTGGCGGCCAACCCTGAGCCTGACACTCAACCTGACCCACGGCCTCAACTCAGACCCAAGAAAGGTCATCACAGCGCCAGCACATCAGGCCTATCACGCCCCTAAGCCCTAAGCCTAACCCAAAGCTGGCCTCTGAGCGCTCTGTCCCCAGAGCCTGGCTCCAAAGCCCCAGGGATTTGGGACACCTGACCAGTACCAGAGGACTCTAGCTGCCACTAAAAAGGAAAATGTGCCATTGGGAACTCTGGTAAGCATTCAGAGCAGGAGAATTGTGCCGGTCCATCCCAACAAACCCCAAGTTCAACGTGCCCAGGTGGCAATCCCTGGGCCTGACACTCCCCCCTGATCCACGGCCTCAGCTCTGACCGTGGGAAGCTCATCACAGCGCTGGCATATCAGGCTTGTCATGCCCATAAGCCCTAAGCCTAACCCTAAGTTGGTTTCGAGCAGTCGTTCTTCAGGGCCTAGCTCCGAAGCCCCAAGGATTCGGGACACCAGAGCAGTATCAAGGGACTCAGGCTGCAAACTGGAAGGAAACCGCACCACTGGGAACTCTGGAAAGCATTCAGAGAAGGAGAACTTGAATGCCCATCCCAAAGAATTTACACTTTCTGCGCCCCTGGCAGCAAACCCTGAGCCTGACACTCACCCTGACGCCCGCCCTCAAGACATACAGCCCATCCCAAGCTCGCCACATACCCGCAGACCAGGAGTGCCGTGCACCTGGACCCTAATCCTAACCCTCACTTGGCTTTGGAGAGCTCTCTTTCTAGGTCCCTGGCTCCATACCTCAGGGATTTGGGCCACCTGAGCAATACCAGAGGACTCAGCCTGACACCACAGGGCAAAATGCACCATTTGGCACTTCCGAAAGCACTGGGAGGAGAACCCTGCATGCCGTGGGCCCTAGGCCCTAATCCCAACCCTAGGTTGGCTGCTGAGTGCTTTGTTTCCTAGGGCTTGCTCCAGAGCAAGACCAGAGTACTGAGCTTGCCACCCAGAGAGAAACCCCACCGTTTGGAACTCCAGAAAGGATTCACAGCAGGAGACCGCTGCATGCCCATCCCAGCGCACCCACCCTTTCAGTGGTCCCCCAGGAGAAAGAAAGAGCAAGACACTCACGCTGACGCAAGACACTCACGCTGACCCACACCTTCAACCCTCACCCCCGGGAACTTCAAGGCAGTGCTGGGAGGTCAGGTCTCCTGTGCCCCTATGTGCTAACCCTCACGCTCGGTTGGTTTCTGAGGGGTCAGTCCCCAGAGCCTGGCTCCAAAGCCCCACAGATTTGGGACACCAGAGCAATATCGAGCGACTCAGGCTGCCACCCAGAAGAAAAATGCGCCATTTGGTACTCGGGAAAGCATTCAGAGCAGGAGAACTCTAAATGCCCATCCCAAAGAATGCACAAATTTTGCGCCCTCTAGCGGCAAACCCTGAGCCTGACACTCAACCTGACCCACGCCCTCAAGACAAACCCCAGGGGAAGCAGGCCACAGTGCTGGCACATCGAACCTGCCGTGCCCCTAGGCCCTAACCCTATCCCTCGCTGGCTTCTGAGGGCTCTGGCCCCAGAGGCCTGGCTCTAAAGCCACAGGGATCAGGGGCACCAGAGCAATACCAGGGGATTCAGCCTGTCTCCCAGGAGGAAATCGCACTATTGGGAACTCGGGTAAAGCTTTCCAAGTAGGAGAACTCTGGGTGCACATCCCAGCGAGATGCCACATTCAACGGCCCCCTGCCCACAAACCCTGTAACTGACATTCACCCTGAGCCACGGCCCCCACTCAGATGCCCTGCCCCCCAAAGCTTGCCCCAGCGTGGGCAGATCAGGGCGGAAAGGACCCTAGGCCATAAGCCTATCCCTAGGTTGGCTTCTGAGCGCTCTGTCCCCAGAGCCTGGCTCCAAAGCCCCAGGGATCTGGGACACCTAACCAGTGCCAGAGGACTCAGCCTGCCACTAAAAAGGAAAACATGCCATTGGGAACTCCATTAAGAATTCCGAGCAGGAGAACTGTGCCCATCCATCCCAACGAACCCCAAGTTCAACATGCCCAGGCTGCAATCCCTGAGCCTGACATTCCGCCCTGACCCATGGCTTCAACTCTGACCCTAGGAGTCTCATCACAGTGCCGGTACATCAGCCCTCTCATGCCCCTAAGCCCTAAGCCTAACCCTAGGTTGGCTTCTGAGTGGTCTGTTCCTAGAGTCTGGCTCCAAAGCCCCAGGGCTTTGGGACACCTGACCAGGACCAGAAGATTCTGCCTGCCACTAAAAAGGAAAATGTGCCCTTGGGAACTCCGGTAAGCATTCAGAGCAGGAGAACTCTGCCAGTCCATCGAACGAACCCCACGTTCAATGTGCCCAGTCCGCAATCCCTGAGCCTGACGCTCCCCCAACCCA